ATTTAAACACACTTACATAATTCAATGAAGAGTTCGAATTATTCCGAGCATACGTATAGTATTGTACTTATTTTTATTTTTTAAGTGAAATTCAATTATGTTTTGGAATTTTATTTTTTTTAGGTTAAAATGTTTAGAAAATTAAATCACGAGTGTTGAAACAAAAATAATGTCAAGAAAAATTAACAAGAAACAAAATTTAGGGGTTAATCATTCTTAAACAATTTAATAAAGTTGCGGACTCAAATTATGAGTCTACAAGGTTGGAGGAAAAAAAATTTGAGTCCTGAAAATACATGAATAGTTGTATTTTGGAGGGTGAAAATTTGAGTTTAGCCCCAACATGGTTGGAGATGGTCTTATACAGGTTAACCTATACAATTTAAACCACCTCTGTTTTTAAGCTCCATTTATAAATTATTGAGACCCTCTTCTCTTCTTTTAGAGTTGCAGAGATTGATTCAAGTTGGTTTTGGTTTTGATTGAAGTTGGAACTTTGTCCTTGGATGGACGTGTAGGTTCATATCCATTTCTTACAACAATTACATCATGATTTTATGAGACTTGTGTCGATGTAAAAGAAAACACACAAGAAAACGACCAACATGCCTCTGATGTCATATAATCCTCAGAACCACGCAAATCAAGCTATAAAGATAAAGAATATGCACTCATCCAAAATGTCACTTGGGGATGAGAGTTGACTCTAGTTAAAAAGCAGCTTCTACATAAAAGTGCTTGCCGAAACATTTCTCCATTAATGAAGAAAATAAACGAAATAATTAGAGAGAAGACTTTGGTAGAAGAATCTAATGCATTGATTTCACCAACAAAGTTTTCAAAAGGGTAAGGTTTGATAAAAGTATGAAGGTCTACTCCACCTCCACTCATGTAGGCAAAGGTTTAAAATCCCCAAGCACCCAAGGAATATTTGTGTAAACTCCCCTCCCCCAATCGCTTGTAGTAAAAAAACAAAAAAATTGCTTTTTATGATGATGCTCTTGGGGGAACTAGGTGACATGCATTAAATCAATATCATGCCATCATGGTTTATTATTTTAATCACTTTTCTGCTCTCTCTCTAACCTACCGACAAATTTTTTCCATTGAAATGGAAATTTGTTAGAAGGGAGTTTAGCTTGATTGGACTTTAAGTAATGGGAAATCGATTCCTTTGAAATATTGAAAAACCTTGTTGGATAGGCATGGTAATATAAAGAAATACAAAAGGTACAAATGGACAACGGATACAAAGATCCAAAGGCAGACAGTATTTCATCTGTTGGATTATTCGAAAATATCCCTTGTCCCCAACCCAAATCTCATCATGAACCCATGAATCGATGGACAAGAAGCAATTATTCAAACAATCATTGGTTTAATTGAGAATGACCAATCAATTCACTCGTTTATTAAGTTTTGTATTTAAATACTTTGACAGATTGTTTTTTTCCATTTTAAATGAGGAATAATATCGTTTTGATTATATTTAAAAAGGAAAAAAAAATATATGTATTGCGCATGGCTCTATTTCTTTGGAGATACCCAAATGAAAATATTATCGTTTTGTCAACCCAGATCCCCCATTTGTCTAGCAAGAATTTAAAAATGTATGCCAAGCTTGCCCTACATTACACAATGAACAATGGGAATGGCATACAGTAATTAAATTGTGTCGGTGTCTCTCACATCAGCATCTTTCCATTTGCCAACTAAACACTCTGCAATATTTATGTTCTTAATTTTAATTGTGAACCATTTAATTACTTTTAATAAAAACCTGTTTAAGTTTGTATAATTGTGATTTCCAAGTGGATCATCAAGTTGAAAGAACTAATTAGCATATTCTTAAAATGTGTTTAACTTTTTGTCGTTTCCTGTTAGTCAAAGTCATTGCTTAAGTTACAAGAAATATATATATATATATATACACACACACTGTAGTATCAAAATGAAGAAAAATTGTCGTTATGACTCATTCCTTCCCTGTCGAATATTGACTTCATTAAAGGTCTCCATATGTTCAATTAAATTTAAACTCCACCATTTATATGAAAAACAAGGTTCATTTTTGTAAAAAAGTAAGCTTTCTACCTTGACAATCCATACAGAGTCCCTTTTGCTTCATTAGTTTCTATCCCAGCTGCACTCTGTTTCCCAAAACACTCATCATTATCTGCACCAATCACAGATTTTGATAGTTTAATATGGATCATTTGGTACTCTGTATGTTTTAAGAAGATTGTCTTCTTCCCCTTGGTAGCTCTTGGTTTTGAAACCTTGAACCTTGGTTGCATCATTATAATGGAATCAGGACAGGAGAGTGTGACACATTAACGATAGTGATGGTTTATTTTAAGTTGGTCGTAAACCATGTGTTTTCTTTCGAAGACTCGATGCAAACAAAACCAGTTTACCGCAAGCAAATAAGAACATTCATTAGTTCATAACATTAAACTCATTGGCCATCTTAAACAAAGACTTAGAAGTTAGAACATGAGATAAGACAACAAAAGCAATCGCACGCTACAACTGCCTCACCATTAACTAATCACCAAGTTGTAATAATAATAATAACAGCAGCTTTACACAACAAAAACCAATTATGTCCCCAAAACCCACGACCCTTGACCTCAGGAATTAACTTCGTACCTGCAAAAGATACTATCAGCATCAGAAAGTTATCCTTGATATGGTGGTTGGTTAGACAGTAATGATCCTTTCCTTTTTATTAAAACCAGTTGTGTTGTGTCACTGTTGAAATTACCATGTGCTGTTTTGATTTTATTCACTGGAAAGAAAATTTATATGGCATGATTTTCTTTTCTGAAATTCTATTGTAACTTCAACTGCAAACCAGTCTTCATTTTGTCTCATATTCTGTTTTATTCTACAACTTGTGCACACTTTCTATCTCCAACTTTAATACCTTTATATCAACGATTGATCTCATATTCTGTTTGCTGCAATACAAGCTTATTCCTCCAAAGTCGATAATCATCTGTCATCAAGCCAAAATTTGACTTCCATGACTCTGACTTTGTTATAGAACTTCTTTTTTTGGTTGTCATGGAAGTTTTACAAATGTTAACCGATAACTAAATTATGACAAATATGTATGAAATTAAGTAAAGAAGAATCTAATCTCAGAAAATTGATTTGATTCCATGAATGAATTCGAAGACTTATGTGTTGGTGGGACTTGGACAAACACCAAGCTGTCCATCTTTTCCTGCTTCTTTCATATCAGAAAAAAATAGGTTGCAAATAAAAAAATTTAGGGATTGAACCTGGCAACCTAACATAGAACATAAGATACAAAACCCAACTTCTCCTTAATAATATTTCTCTTATTTGTTTTAGTATAATGAAAAAAAGGACAGAGATTAAGACAGCGTTGATCTACTTTTAAGTATTCTCTGAAAAAGCTGTCTGCTTAAGTGGATGGTGTCAACTGTTACAAAGCAATTGGTTCCAGGGTTGCTTACTCTTCTGCTATCCAAATTAAATAAGTTTTGTTTTGGGAAAACCATATTAAATAAGTTGTAGGTCGTTTACACAACTGACTCTTGAAAAGCCAACACAGTATAGGACAAGAGGATATGACACAAAAAATATTACAGTATCCTTAAGTAATCTCATTGACCAACTCTTCAATTTTGTTTTATGGCACATGGAAATGATGCCTTTGGCTTGGGGGGCATAGGCTGCTGTTTCACGAGCTGCCTGCCTATACACTTCCAACCTCTTATCTTAAGGAAATGAAACAGGGTTTGCACGTCTGCCTTATTAATCTTTTCCAAAATTATTGATACCACACTTGATCATTTTACACCAAACTTCAAGTTAGATTTGCCAGGATTCCTTGTTGTTGACAAAACCAAATGCGATCAAACAAAGACAAGGATCATTCTCAATGAATAAGAAAGCTGTGTGGATTCTATACTCTCTAAGTTGGTTGCTATTGTTTGTTTTTTTATCTTTTCCCTTTTAACCCAAAAAGGAAAAGAAGTAATTAAAAGAAAAACAGACAGAAGCAAAAGAGCTACTGGATTAGTGTGCTCCCAATATGCAAGGCATGGCTTGTTCCTTAGAGCTCAACCTCTCAAAAGTATTGCCACAATGCACATTCAGACAGCTAAAGCAAATACATGCCCTCATTGTCACAACCTTTCTCAACCAAAACATCCAAATTTTCTCAAAATTTCTTCGGCGGAGCACCGAGTTTGGAACTATGGAGTATCCCAATCTCATATTTTCCCAATTGGGTCCTGAACTCAGTAACGACATTATGATT